AAGATCAAGATCAAAGGCCAGAGAGGGCATAAAGCCAGGAACTTTCAGCATCTTGCTCTCTTTTTCTGCTTCACCCAACATCTGGACCAGGGGTGGGTTTCTCGCCCCGTTCCAACCGGATCGGTTGGAACGAGGCCGGCGGCGTCCTCACGCACGCATGCGGTGCGCGCGCACGCACGCGGTGTGCACGTGCACGCACACAGCGCGCGCATGCATATTAGCGTCTGCGCGATGCTCCAGCTGCTCCTGGAGGATCGCGCAGGCGTTCTGCGCATGCGTGGAAAGCGCGAAATTAAAAAAAAACGGGTAAGGAGCGGGCGCGGGTGTGCGGGTGCGCGTGGGCGCGGGGGGGGCTTCGCCGTTCGGCGACCAACCGGATCGCAGGGACCGGTGCGAACCGGTTGAAACCCAGCCCTGATCTGGGCGCATGTGGTCCCCCTTTTCTGTTCTGGAGCTCAAGCCATGTGATTCTGTTACCATTAAACCATTCAAGCAACTTCCATGTTTCCAGTATCTTTTTCCCCACTTGGAACTGAACCAAGAAGGACATTTCTTCCAACACATTGTTGATGGAACCCAACCTTTTCCCCATTTTAATCAAACCTTCCATTTGACAGCTCAAGTCGCTATTTAAAACACAGATGCAATGCTGTTTCAAAGCACTGTTTAACATTGCTAAAATTGATCTAATGGTTTTCTAGAAGAATCCTAGACTCTTTTCCATAAGGAGCTCACATAATGCTGGAGTGGTAGTTTGAAAAGGCCAGTCAGGCATCATTTAGGCAGATGATTCTGCAGAAGCCAGAGGCCTGAATTTTCCAGCAGCCCAAGTCAAAAAGGAATATTGTATGAAACACTTTGTTTAGCAACTTGTGAGGTTTTCAATGGTGGAAAGCCCCCAGTAAGAACATACATGCAAGATTCCATCGCATGATCTATATTGTTAACAAGGCATTGTAGAACGCATGTATAAGAATGTAGAATCAGAAAAAAATAATAAAAATAGAAATGCTAAATATGGTGGACTGGGGGACAAGGCAAAAGCTCCATCACAAGCACGAGTCCCTTAAAAAGTCAATAGGGCATTTTCATGCTGTAGCTACTGGGGCTGAATCACTTTTCTATCTATAAATAACATGTGTGTTATTTATCCTGTGTGGAAAATATGTCTATTAAATAAAGAGCTAAAGCATTTGAAGATATTACAACAAAGTATAGTTTATTGGTATGCACAGACTTACAGGTTACTGAGTTCCTGGTCAAACAAATGTTAAAGAGTTGGCAGGTTACAGGGTTATAAATTATAAATCTTTATAAGAATTTATTATACAATCTTCATACAAAGAATGCTATATCAGATTAGGTGAAGGTGCTGGCCTTATTGTGGCAGCCATTCTGGTGACTAAATGTTTATACTTCCAAACATGTCTCTCCCTCTGCTCTTCTGTTCTGATACTAGCATTGGTTATCATAAACAATTGTTGTTATGTTCAGCAAGTGCCTCTTTTTTACATTGCTAGATAATACAACAGCCTGCTTTATTCCAAAGGTAGCTTTCTTTCAGAAGGCAACTGGAGTTTCTTTTATTGATAGAAGACTTTTTGCTTCTCATCCAAGAAGTTTCTTCAGTTCTGACTGAATGATGTAGAATGGAAGGATTTATAGTCCTTGCAGCCATCTGGTCATTTCTTTCTGGTCATCTGGTCTTTGAAGCCATTCTCTCAGAAAGAGTGCGATTGCAAGGAATGGTACCTGTTCTTTGATAAGGATATCATATGGCCTTGCAGGAATTTTAGATCAAGGATGTAAGACCCAAGAAAATATCTAAGAACATAAATAAGCAAAATAAAGGGTTTTAAACAAAAACAAAACAAAAAACAAAACAAAAAAGGGAGCTTCTCTGGCTAAACTAGCTATATCAGAGTTACAATTTGAAGTATATGAATGATTCGCAAGCAAGGGTAGGCATGGGGAAGTAACTAGTTATAGCCGTTTCCTTTTGGTATCTTATGCCTTTCATTTGTATGAATTATATCCTATTTCTTTTCTGGCTTTTACTTTGAAACGCAATATCGTGTTGGGTATGGATGCGATATAGTACTAGAACTGAAGACTCAGGACTGTACTCAGGAACTGTACTTCCTGAGAATGCTAAGTAAGATAAATCTATCTCAGCATCTACTTCTGTCCTACTATCGCAGCACCATTGAGAGTGTCCTGACATACGGAATTATTGCATGGTATGGGAGCAGCTCTGCAGCGGACAAAACAGCTCTACAGAGAATTATTAAAACTGCCCAGAATATCATTGGGCTCCAGCTACCGGCCCTGGACGACATCTTCGCATCTCGTTGTTTGAGGAAGATGCATAACATCCTCAGAGACTCCTCCCATCCTACTTACAATCTTTTTACACTGTTGACTTCTGGCAGAAGATACAGAACAATTCAAACTAGGACCACACGTCTTCTGAATAGTTTTTATCCCAGAGCTATAATTGCACTCAATAATGAACTAAAGGATCACTCACCATCAGTGAGCTATTGGACAGCACTATTGGACAGTCTATTGTGTGGATGCTTGGGTGGTTCAGGGGTGGGGGTGGGGTTTGGTGTGTGTGTGTGTGTTTTGGGGGGATTGTTACTGACTGGTCTCTGGGTGTTACGTGAATTTCATTGTATGTGTAACTAGATGGTGGCAAAGAGATACAGAAAATGTATCCTTCTTTGCTTCCATCCAATGATTGTCCGGAGTTTTGAAATGCGAATATCTTAACTCTACAGCAGCTAAAAATAAACAATGATGCCATGAAATGCAAAAGGACTGTCTTTCACAAATCGTATCTTGGATGCGATACATATTTTTACATTGCATTTTAACAGGCCTCTATTTTTTAAGACAAGAGATGCGCGGAACAGAGACCAATTTTCAAATTGTCTAATTCACAACGCGGCTGAAAACAAAGGCTTCTCAATTGAAAGAGCGCCGGTTCGTTGCCTCTGTCAGCGGATTAAACCATCTCCTTTCCGGGTAATAAGAAGAACCTTTGAATCACTCCCCCGCTCCTCCACACGTTCATGGTAGTAACCTGAACGGACCATTGAGCGGACGCAATTTCCGGCTTTCTCCCGGAAACTTCACTTGACGGCATTATAGGAGTTACGTCCCTCTGTTCTTCCTTCTCCCGGCTTCTCCCAGGTACATCGTTCAGGTCAGAGAGGCGAATCGCTGGAAGCCTTTCTCGCGAGAAAAGAGGAAAGCCCCCTTCCCGCCCCGCCCTCCTCTTTGGAACGACCCTCTCAGCGGGTGGAGGGTCGCTGGGTGTCCGCGCGACGCCTCCCCCACCCCCCGCGCTTGGCACTCCCGCGCGCATCAGCTGGCCAGGGGGGGAGGGGAAGGGAAACAATGCTTCCCTTCCAAGCGCCGCGCGTCCGTTAGGGAGGCTACCGGCGTTGGCTCCGTTCTGGAAGGCCCCACCCTTGTGACGGCAGCCTCGGGGCTGAATCAGGGGGGAACCCTTCGTGGGAGAGTCGGATTTACAATGAATCTCAATCGGGGGTCCTCCAGATGCAAGTCCAGGATTGAGCGAGTTGACTGGGAATTATGGGGGTTGTAGTAGATTGCTGTAATGCAGCAAGGTTGGGGCAAGGCTGTATCAGTGACCAAACAGTTTCCAGGGTAAATGTTTAATTTACATTAAAAAGGAGGTGGGTGATTGTGTTCTTTTGAGTGTATTGATAGGCTTGGGGGAGGTGTGCCAATTGTTTTATTGTACTGTAATTTGTCACTAAAATTATAGTGAAAGTGAGTATAATACTATGCTTAGTTTGTGATAAGGTCTCTTGTCATTTATCTCATGCAGCACCAAATTTATCTGCCCTTCATCCCCTGTTGGACCCCAGGTGGGCACTTGAGATTTGGCAGTGGCACCATTCTGAGGTATTTGTGTTTGCTTCATATAATATAAAGTATACTATAAAGAACATATAAGGAGTATAAAGAGCAACTTCCATGGAAATTAATGTTTTGTAGATGTCATTTTTCTACTGGTACTTGATAACTGACTCCTCTTCTTTTGCTATTCTCAAATGTACCATAAAAGTTATTCCCAGTTTTATAATTTTCAAAATTATAAGGTGACAGATGTATCAGTAGAAAATACTGACTTGTAGAAAGGATTCATCTGACACAACGGAAATATATTTTGCACAGGGAATGATTTCACAGGGCCTCTTTTCCAATTAGACAATTCCTTTTTGGGGTCAAGGGCATTGGTAAATAGGAGTAAATGGTCCTGTACTTGTATCATTATATATGAGAAAGCGCTGTCCTGATTTAATCCTATCTTTAATTTCTATTTTCATTTTTTATATTTTTATGTTTGGTGGGTTTTCATTTTTATTCTTTTTATGGAATTTTATAACAGGAAAAATTTACCTGATTTGTGTTCTATGTAAGCCTCCAAGAGTCTTTTCATTGCAGTGGGCTAACTGTGATTAATAGTTAAATATCATACAAGAAGATCTGGAGATGTTAGCTAAATATTTATTCAAAAAAGAACTAAAAGAACTATTTCTGACTTACACATTTTCTTGAAAATATTAATTATATTATGCACGAACAAGTTGTCAGAAAGCACACTTTCATTTTCAAGTTATATGTAAAGCATTTTATTCATTACTCATAAACTTAAAGTAAGAATTAGTGTTCAATAAAGAGAGAACAACCCAATTATTACTTATATTAACTCCTTAGCCAGAGGATATTTAGTATTCACTTTGGGAACTATGGAAACGAATAGAAACTTGGCTTTTTTTTTTCCAGATACTGATGGTGACTCTTCAGAAACAAGTCTGTGAAACATTTTGTTTGAATCAAAGGTAGAACAATCAGTAGCAGAGCATAAGATGCTGTGTGTGTGTGTATCTCACTTTAATATCTATTTAATATACATCTCAATTTAACTCCAATATCTCCGGCTTATGTCTGTCTGTCTGTCTGTCTGTCTGTCTATCTATCTATCTATCTATCTATCTATCTATCTATCTATCTATCTAT